TTTCGTCTTTTGGAACTTAAAAACAGGGTCACAAAGCAGGTTGTAGTTTCATGTTTTTCCCCTATTTAACTAGCCGTATCAGCCCCTTAGGTAGACAGTCCATAGTTTCCTCATTATGCTTTTTTAATGTTTCTTCTGTATTTCTAGGCTTTCCTATACTTCTAGGCTTTCTATTCTGTTCTGTTTGTTTGTGTAATCATGTCCCAATACTACACTATCTTTTTTTTTTTTTAGAAAGAGGGAGAAACAGATGTCACTGTGTTTGTTGTTTAGACTGGTTTTGAACTCCTGTCCTCAAGTGATCCTCCTGCCTCAACCTCCCAAATAGTTGGGATTATAGATGTGAGCCACTCACCCAACTTCCACAGTCTTAATTACAATAGTTTGATAAGTCATCTTCACCTCAGGGAGTGTAAATGTCCCCTTCCTTTTATTTTTCACAATTATCTTGGCCCTTCTGGGCCCTTTGCAAAGAGGACAGAATAAGCTGTCCTGAATTTGGGGACCTGACTCTTATTCATTTTCCACAGGAAAAAAAAAATCTATGAGATTTTTTGTTGTGAATTTTGTTGAATCCACAGGTTAATTTGGATATAGATTCAAAATAATAAGTAGACTTTGATAGTATTACAAAGAAAAAATTTAAAACATGAAGCTATCATGGGAGACTCAACACAGAAAAACACAAAGAGTAGTAAAGATGGTCAGGTGCGGTGGCTCAGACCTGTAATCTCAGCACTTTGGGAGGCCGAGGAGGGTGGATCACTTGAAGCTGGAGTTCGAGACCAGCCTGGCCAACATGGTGAAACCCCGACTCTACTAAAAATACAAAAATTAGCCGGGTGTGATGGTGAGTTCCTGTAATCCCAGCAACTAGGGAGGCTGAGGCAGGAGAATCACTTGAACCCAGGAGGTGGAGGCTATAGTGAGCCAAGATGACACTATCGCACTCCAGCCTGGGAGACAGAGCAAGACTCCATCTCAAAAACAACAACAACAACAAAGAGTAGTAAAGAAACAGAAGATTTAAACAATAAACTATGCCTGAGTAATGTATATATAAATATTATATCTATGTATATACTTTAGTTGTGTCTTTTTCATGCTTTCTCTATCTCTTTTTTTTCTTTGCTTAATTGGGTTTGCTTATAGTTTGCCTTTAATTTAGTTTTTGACCAAAGAACTAGATTTTAGGCTATCACTTGAACCTTAAGTTTTTTTTCATATTTTCACAAGGTTTACTTTAAAAAATTTTCTTCCTTCTTTTGGCTTTTCTAGTTATTCTTTTACAGGTTCATGAATTGAATGCATAACTCATTTATTCTAAACTATTTTTGTTGGTTGTTTTATTTTCAATTTATCTATGCATTTTGGTTATAATAATTCTTTCATGGTTGTTTAGTTCTAACTATTTTATCATTTCCATTGTGATTTCTTTTTACTTCATTATTTTAGGGAGCATTATTTTGTGCTAAAAGATGTAGAGCTTTATTTTTGTTTTTTGTTTTGAAACAGTCTCACTCTGTCACCCAGGTTGGAGGGCAGTGACGTGATCTCAGCTCACTACATCCTCTTCCTCCCAGGCTCAAGTGATTCTCGTGCTTCAGCCTCCCAAGTAGCTGGGACTACAGGCATCTGCCATTGCACCCAGCTAATTTTTTTTTTTTTAGTAGAGATGGGGTTTTACCATGTTGGCCAGGCTGATCTCAAACTCCTGGCCTCAAGCAATCCATCTACCTCAGCCTCCCAAAGTGCTGAGATTACATTGATGAGCCACCATGCCTGGCCAAGTATTTTTTTTCTAATCACTCTCATTATTGAGTTCTAATTTAATTTCATTATGGTCAGCATGCATGGACTGATGTATCCTTTGACATTTAATGAAACTATAAAGTATTTGGTCAATTTTTGTAAATGTTCTAGATAGATCTAAAAATAGAATAGTTTCTCTCTGTTGCTTGTGCTATCTACATTTTATCCTATTGGATTTTTTATTCCAATTACTACTTTTTCATTTTAATGATTTATAATTGGTTCTTCGTTCTTTTATTTTTTTTTGAGACAGAATCTCGCTCTGTGACCAGGTGCCAGGCTGGAGTGCAGTGGCGCGATCTAGGCTCACTGTGCCTCCTGGGTTTAGGCAATTCTCCTACCTCAGCCTCTCGAGTAGCTGGGACCACAGGTGCGTGCCACCATGCCCAGCTAATTTTTGTATTTTTAGTAGAGACGGGGCGTCATCATGTTGGCCAGGATGGTCTCGATCTCTTGACCTCGTGATCCGCCCACCTCCACCTCCCAAAGTGCTGGGATTACAGGCGTGAGCCAGGGCACCCAGCGTCTTGATTCTTTTTTATTTAAACCTGTTCTTGCTTTATTTCTACCTATTTTTGTTTCATGGTTTTGGGTCTTTTTAATATATGATTCTGTCATATATCTGTTTGTGCATCCTAAGAATACTTAGTCTTTATCACATTATACCCCAAATTAATCTAGAATGAATTCATATTCTTATTGTTGACTTTGTTAATTTTTTTCTGAACCTTTTTTTTTTTTTTTTGAGAGAGGGTCTTGCTCTGTTGCCCAGGCTGGAATGCCAGTGGCATGACCATGGTCACTGGAGCCCTGACCTCACAGGCTCAAGGATTCGAAAACCACAGGACTTACCAAGCTCTTAGAACTACAGGAGTGCGCCACCACACCCAGCTAATTTTTTAATTTTTTGTAGAGATAGGGTCTCACTATGTTGTCAGGGCTGGTCTCAAACTACTGAGCTAAAGCAATCCTCTTGCCTTGGCCACCCAAAGTGCTGGGATTACAGGCATGAGCCACCACATCTGCTGAATGTTTCTTTTTTCTTTTCTTTTCTTTTTTTTTTTTTGAGATAGAGTTTCGCTCTTGTTGCCCAGGCTGGATTGCAATGGCACCATCTTGGCTCACCACAAGCTCCGCCTCCCAGGTTCAAGTGATTCTCCTGCCTCAGCCTCCTGAGTAGCTGGGATTACAAGCATGTACCACCACACCCTGCTAATTTTTTTATTTTTGGTGGAGATGGGGTTTCTCCATGTTGGTCAGGCTGGTCTTGAACTCTTGACCTGAGGTGATCCGCCCACATCGACCTCTCAAAGTTCTGGGATTATAGTTGTGAGCCCCTGACTGAACATTTATTTATATGTTTGGAATTTCTGGCCAGGCGTGGTGGCTCACGCCTGTAATCCTACCACTTTGGGAGGCCAAGGTGGGTGGATCA